TGTTGGTGGGAATGCAAGCTGGTGCAGCCACTCTGGAAAACAGTATGGAGGTTCCTCAAAAAGTTGAAAATAGAGCTACCCTACAACCCAGCAATTGCACTACTGGGTATTTACCTTGAAGATACAAATGTAGTGATCTGAAGGGGCACCTGCACCTCAATGTTTTTAGCCACAATGTCCACAATAGCCAAACTATGGAAAGAGCCCAGATGCACATCGACAGATGAATGGACAAAGAAGATGTGGTATATATATACAATGGAATACTACTCAGCCATGAAAAAAATGAAATCTTGCCATTTGCAATGACGTGGATAGAACTAGAGGGTATTATGCTAAGCAAAATAAGTCAATCAGAGAAAGACAATTATCATATGATCTCACTCATATGTGGAATTAAGAAACAAAACAGAGGATCATAGGGGAAGGGAGGGAAAAATAAAACAAAACTAAATCAGAGAGACAGATAAACCATAAGAGACTCTTAATCATAGCAAACAAACTGAGGGGTGCTGAAGGGGAGGGGAATGGGGGGATAGGGTAACTGGTTTATGGACATTAAAGAGGGGACGAAATGTAATGAGTACTGGATATTATATAAGACTGATGAATCAATGACCCCTACCACTGAAACTAATAATATATATTAATTGAATTTAAATTAAAAATTTTTTAAATAAATAAATAAAATCTTTAAAAAAGAGAAACAAAACAGATGAACATAGAGGAGAAAAAAGAGAAGCAAACCATAAAATAGACTTTTAACTGTAGAGAACAAACGGAGGGCTGCTGGAGGGGAGGTGGGTGGGGGAATGTGTTAAATGTGTGATGGGTATGAAGAAGGGCACTTATTGTGATGAGCACTAGCTGTAGTGTGTAAGTGATGAATCACTAAATCCCACACTAGAAACTAATATTACACTGTATGTTAACTAGCTGGAATTTAGATAAAAACATGGGGGAAAAAAGAACAATAGGTTATATTATGAACAGCTATAGTCCAACAAACTAAATATGCAGGTGAAATGGAAAAATTTCTAGAAAGACACAAACTATCAAAATTAAGTCAAGAATGCATATAAAAATCTGAATAAACCTATAGCAAATGAAGAGATTGGATTAGCAATAATTTTTTTAAAAACCCTCCCAATAAGGAAAATCCCAGGACCAGACAGTCATTTAAAGAAGAATTAACACTAATTATTCACAAAACTCTTCCAAAAAAAGAGGATGGAACACTTCCTAACTCATTCTATGAGGCTACTGATAACAAAACCAGACAAAGGCATCACAAGAAAAAAGCGCACAAATATCTCTTACAATGTGGACACAAAAATACTCAACAAACTACCAGCACATTGAATCCACCAATGTTTTTTTTTTTTATTTTTTATTTTTTAGAGAGGGAAAGGGGGGAGGGGCAGAGGGAAGAGGGAGAGAGAGAATCTTCAGCAGGCTCCACGCCCAGTGTGGAGCCCTACTCGGGGCTCAGTCTCACAATCCTGAGATCATGAGCTGAGAAATCAAGAGTTGGACGCTCAACCAACTGAGCCACCCAGGCACCCCTGAATTCAGCAACATTTAAAAAGGATCATGCATCATGACTTATGGTGATTTATCCTGGTAATACAAGGTTGTTTTGTGATCTGAAAATCAATTAATGTAGTACTTTATATGAATAAAAGACATAGGGGAACCTGGGTGGCTCAGTCGTTAAGCATCTGCCTTTGACTCAGGTCATGATCCCAGGGTCCTAGGGCCGAGCCCCACATCAGGATCCCTGCTCAGCGGGAAGCCTAATTCCCCCTCTCCTACTCCCCTGCTTGTGTTCCTGCTCTCACTATCTCTTTGTCAAATAAATAAATAAAATCTTAAAAAAAAAAAAAGACATAAACCTCATGATCATCTTGAAAGATACTTCTCTTTTCAGGTTGGGATATGGGAAGTCTAAACAATAGCACAGAGATCTAAACATGACTAGATTTTGAGGTCTTCCCCAAATGGGAATATCAATTTTAAGATGCACTAAGATGGTTTTGTGAGTTAAGATAAAGGAGGAGAAGTAGTAAATTTAAAGAATCAATGAAAGTTAAACAAGGTCTTGGAGGTGGAGAATTGTAAGAGAAGAGTAGGAGATAGGTAAAGGAGCATAACAAGGTTTTATGGATCTACGAATGAGGCAGTTCTACGTTTCTCATGTTTTTAATTTGCTTTAGCTAAGGAATTATTTAGTGAGAAATTTTAAAGTCCAATTTCAAGGTGGAAGACTACTCATACCAATTAAAGAAAATGTGCTATTGGAAAGGTCTTCTCACATACTTTGCATTCACAGATTTTCTCAAATATGAATTCTCTGAGGTTGAGTAATTTGATAGCCATTACTAAAGGTCTTTCCACAATATTTTATATTAAGTGTTTTTCACATATATGAATTCTCTTTTGCATATGAGGGTGTCTTTCTTGACTACAGGCTTTCTCACATTCCCTACATTCATAATAATTCACACCAGTATAAATTCACCAACATATATTAAGGTTTGAATGATATCTAAAAGCCGTCCCATATTCCTTGCATTCAAAGAGCTTTTTACCAATATTAATACTCTATTCTCAAGTAACTTGTTTTTGCATATTAATGGTTTTTCCGTTTTTATTACATTCATAGGGTTGTCATGGGTTTTCTTTAACAATATTCATAATCTGATGTTGCATAAGTTGTCTACACACAGTAAAAACTTTATTAAATTTCTTATATTCATAAACCTTTTCAGCAGTATGAATTCTCTATATTATAATAATGACTGATTTAAGTCTAAATATATTCCCACATTTTTTACATTAATCAGGTATCTCACCAGTATGAATTCTCTGGATTGAGTGACTTGTCCACACACAATAAAAGCTGTCCCGCATTCCTTACATTCATAAAGATTATCATCAGTATGAATTCTCTGATGGTAAGAAAGAACTCAATTAGGTCTAAAGACCTTCCCACATTCTTCATATTCCTGTGATTTCTCACCTGTATAAACTCTCTGATGTTGAGTAACTTATCCATACATAGTAAAAGGCTTTCCTCATTCCTTACATTCATATAATGTATCACCAGTATGAATTCTCTGGTTTGAAAAAAAGAACTCAATCAGATCTAAAGACCTTCCCACATTCTTTATATTCCTATGATTTATTACCTGTATGAATCCTCTCCTTGGATAAATTGTCCACATGCAGTGAAGACTTTATTTCATTTCTCGTATTCATTAAAAAAAAAAAAAAATCTCACCAGTATGAATTCTCTAATATTTAGTAAGGCCTGAATTAAGTCTAAACATCATGCCACATTTGTACATTCACCAGGCTTCTCATCAGTGTAAATTCTTGATGTTAAGTAACTTGTCCAGACACAGTAAAGGCTTTCCTACATTACTAATATTCATAAAGCTTATCTGCAATATGAATTTCTAGTTTGCAGCTCTAAAGACCTCAGCTGTGTATTTGATATATGTATATCAGCTCTAAAGACCTTCTTACATTCTTTATATTCACAGAATTTCTCACCAGTATGAATTTTCTGGTGGTGACTAAATTATCCACACAGATAATGATGTTCTCAAATTCTTAACATTTATAAAATTTCTCACTATATGAATTCTCTAGATTGGTAAGGACTGAATTAAATTTAAATATCTTCTCACATTCCTTACTTTCACTGTGTTTTCCACCACTATGAGTTTTCTTATGTTGAGTATATTGATATACATTACTGAAGGTCATTCCACAATCTTTATGATTATACCATTTTTAGAGAAAATTTTCTTAGTTTTGAAAAAGGTTAGATTATTATATTATTTATGCAGATGTTACTAGTTAAACCCTTATAATAGCACTGTAAGCATATGAATTACTTTTAAAATGTCTGTAAGTTGCCATTGTCATAGATTATAATTTTGGTAAAATACTCCTTTTGCGTTACCTGACATTTCTCAAGCATGCTTTCACATTTTCAGTCATTTCTGAAAATAGAGGACTTAAGGTCAATTGTATTACTTCTTAATCTGATTCCTTAACTGCTGGATCACATATTTAGTGTACACTCTCCAGAATTCTGGGTTCAAATGTTGTGGCAAATAGAAGAAGCTTCAGAAGTAGATTGGTATGCTTCTAATGGCATTCTCAGCAGAAATAATTTTACTGGGTGCCTGGGTGGCTCAGTCAATTCAGTGTCTGCCTTTGGCTCAGGTCATGATCCCAGGGTCCTGGGATCAAGCCCTGTATCAGGCTCCCTGCTCAGTGGAGAGTTGGCTTCTCCCTCTCCCTCTGCCCCTCCCCACCTTGTGCATGCTCTCTTGCGTGTGTGTGCTCTCTTAAATAAAGAAATAAAATCTTTTTAAAAAAGAAATAATTTTACTAGTAAGGTCTTTTTTGTGCAGCTTACTAGTTAAACCCTTCCAATAACATTGTAAGCACATAATTTCCCCTATGAATATGCTCCCAATTAAAAATAAACTAAAAGATAAACCCATATAATGCATAAAAGCATTTGTATTAATTTTTCAGGGCTACTGTAACAAATTACCACAAACTTGATTGCTTTAAACAACAGAAATTAATTATCTCACAGTTCTAGAGGCCAGATTGTGATATTAAGGTGTCAGCAATGTTTCACTTTCTCCGAAGGCTCTAAGGGAGAATCTATACTTACCTCTTCCAGCTCCTGGTGGCTGTCGGCATTCCTTGTGGCTGTATCTGCTCCAGTCTCTCCCTTGACCTTTATATGGCTCTCTCCTCTTTTCTGTTTTTCCTTCTGTCTTATAAGGACATTTGCTATTGAATTTCGAGTCCACCTATGTAATCTAGGATAGCCTAAGGTGATTAATTTAATTATATCTGCAGAGTCTTTTTTCAAAATAAGGTAACATTCAGAGGGCACAGGTATTAGGACATGGACATATCTTTTGAGGGGCCAATGTTCAACCCACTACAGTATTCAGTAAAGTTAAATACATAATTCTGATTAAAAATAAGTCTTAGGAAAATTTATTTTCTTTGAAAAATTATATATTGGAAACTACAGCATAAATTACACTTGATATAGAAGTTTCATATTCATTATCTTTAAGATTGGAATAACATAAGATTGGATGAGCTCACCCACAATGGCAAAAGCAATCTGCTTTTCTCAGTCTATCAATTCAAATGTTAACCTCATTCAGAAACCTCCTCACAGACATACTAGGATAATGTTTAACCAAATATGTGGGCACTCCATGGCCTAGTCAAATTGACACAAAAAATTAACCTTCATGGTATGTCTTTGTTCTTAGGAAACAGATACATGAAGTATGATGTCTTCAACTGACTGTAAAATGGCTTAACATTTCTAAAATTCATGTAACATTATAAAAATCATTTAATGTTTTACCTATTTCTCTCTATATATATCACACATGTGTATACATATATCAAATACACATAACCAAATACAGACATAGATATCTATATCATAGGTATCTCCATATACAGAGATAATGTGGTGTTAACAATTAGTAAATATAAGTGAAGGATATATGAATGTTCATTGTCTGATTCTTACAAGTTTTCTATAGATTTGAAGTTTTCAAAGTTGAAAAAATACTAAGAATCTATTTTATTTTCCCAAGTACTACCACCATGTCCAAAGTCATTATAACCTCTCATTGGGATTACTGAAATCGCCTCTTATTGTATCTTTCTGCTTTTACCCTTTCCTCCCTGCATTATATTTTCAACATGGCAGCCAGGCTGACTTTAGCTATATCACTCCTGTTCTGAAAAGAGAAATCCTAGGTTCCCATTTCACTCAGAATACAAGGCAAAGCCTTACTGTAACAAAGTCTAAATTGTCTGGTTCTCCCATTACAATCCTGACCTCATTTCCGACTGCACTACTGATCATCCTTTCTCTGCTCAAACCACAACAATCTTTGTGCTGTTCCTTGAACAAACCAAAAACCTATCTTCCTTATGAGTTTTGCTCTAGATTTTCCCCCCGCCTAGAATGTTTTCTTCCCAAAAAACTATTTGGCCAATTCCTTCAGTGTGTACGTAGTGATCAATCACATGGATTCTACTCAGCTTTGGAGGTGCCAAGTCTGATAACAGACTGCTGTCATTCTTGCTCACATCCTTAAGTATCTGATTTTTCTTCTTCAAGTGGCAGGGTGAATTGTCAGACGTTACTTAATGAAATATCTTTTTAAAAGATTTTATTTGTTTATCTATTTATTTATTGATTGATTGATTGATTGATTTGAGAGAGAGAGACAGACAGAGACAGAAACAGAGACAGAGAGAATGAGCCCAAGCAGGAGGAGCAGAGGGGAGGGACAAGCCGACTCCACACTGAGCACGGAGCCAGAAGCAGGGCCCAAACCCACAACCCCGAGATCAGACCTGAGCTGAAACCAAGAGTCAGATGCTCAACTGAGCCACCCAGGCACCCCACTTTATGAAATCTTGAAGATTACATCTATTACCTGAAATAATTACCATATCAATAGCAGAAGAAGATAAAGAACCCAATCATGTTATATACTTACAACAAATCATTGTAGATCTAAAGACTTTTTACAAAGATGACTTTAAAAAACTTTTGTCTATCAGAAGAAGAGGAATGAAAGAGGTTTTTGCATCTCAAGTTCCTCATTTTAGATTTCTGTTAAAGGCAGACTTTGCTTGTGTTGCTTCTTTTCCATCAGATCTTCAAATTCATGGAAGATTCTAATTCCAATGGATTGTATTGCAGCAATTGCAATAGCCACTCTGTGGTAAGAAAATTTTCCTGGGAGAATTGGAGAAAACATTTGCTTTAGTGTTTGGGTTTTTGCTTTAAGAAAATAAAACCATATACAATTGATTTGGGTTTTATCTCTAGCATTTCCATTTAATCCCTTCTTAGATTTTCTATCTCTGCTTATATTACCAATCTCTTCTTGTGTGTTTTCCACCTTTTTCATTACAGCCCTTAATATATTAATGCTAATTATTTTAAATTCTAACTATTATAATTCCAGTATCTCTGTCATATCTGAATTTTGTTCTAACGTTTGCTGTCTCTTCAGTCTGTATCTTTATTTCTTTTACTGTATCTTGTAAATTTTTCTGAAAGCTGAACATATTGTATCAGGTAAAAGGAAATGAAGTAAATAGGCCTTTTGTGACAATTTTTATTTTCTTGCCAGGGGTTATGTTTTTACACCTAGCTGTAGGTGTCAGAGGTTAAAATTTCCTCTAATGTGCTTGGTTTTGTCTCCCCTGTTGTCTTTGGATTTCCTTTGATACTCCTTCTTAAATAAGGTCTGAGTCATGCACTTCTTTCAGTTGCAATTTTCTGTTACACAGCCCTATTGATGTGGTGGTATGTTGTGGGGAGAGGGGAAGTATTCTATAATCCTATGACCACATCTCGGTCTTTAGTGAGCCCATGCATGGGCTGCGACCTATACCTGTGCTTTTCTGCCTTCCCCCCACTTTTTTCTAGTTTTATTGAGATATAGTTGACATACACATTGTGTAAGTTTAAAGTGTACAATATGATGATTTTGTATATGTATATATTGCAAAATGTTTACCACAATAAGGTTAGCTAAAGTATCCTTTATCTTACATAATGACCACTTTATGGTTGTTGTTGTTATGGTGAGAACACTAAAGCTGTACTCTGATAACAACTTTCAAATGTATAATACAGTATTTTTGACTATAGTCATCATGTTATACTTTAGATCCCCAGAACTTATGTACCTTATAACTGAATTTATGCTCTTTGACCAGCATTTCTTCTTTTCTTCACCCCTCACCCCTGGCAAGCACTATTCCACTCATTTCTACCAGTTTGATGCTTTTAGATTCCACACGTAGGAGAGATTGTCTTTCACTATCTGACTTATTTCTCTTAGAATAATGCTGTTAGGTTCTGTCCGTGTTTTTGCATATGGTGGGATTTCTGTTTTTATGGTGCACACACACATACACATACATACATACATACATATATGTATTAAATATATGTATGTGTGTATACATATATATTATAATTAATATATATGGCATATATATATATATATATATACTCACCCACTGATGGACACTTAGGTTGACTTAGATTGTTTCCATGTCTTTGCTATTGTGAATAATACTGCAATGAACATGGGAGTGAGAATATCTTTTTGAAATAGTGACTTCATCTTGTTCAGAAATATACCCCGATGTAGGACTGCTGGATTATATGGTAGTTCTATTTTTAATCTTTTGAGCAAACTCCATACTGTTTCAGTAGTGGCTGAACAAATTTTCATTCCTACCAACAGTGACAGAGTTCCCATTTCTCCACATCGTTGCTGGCATTTGTTATATCTTGTATGTATGTGTTTTGTTTGTTTTCTAGATAATAGCTATTCTAACAGGTTTAAGATGATACCTCATTTGTGGTTTTGATTTGCATTTCCCTGGTTATTAGTAATGTCAAGCAAGTTTTCATGTACATGTTGGCTATTTGCATATTTTTCTTTGGAAAAATATATCTTCAAATCATCTGCCCATTTTATTTTTATTTTTTTAAGATTTTATTTATTTGAGAGAGAGAGAGAACATGAGCAGGGTGGGGCGGCAGTGGGCAGGGCAGAGGTAGAAGGAGAAGCAGACTCCCTGCTGAAAAGGGAGCCTTATGTGGGGCTTGATCCCAGGACCTCAGGATACGACCTGAGGCAAAGGCAGACACTCAACTGACTGAGTCACCCAGGCGCCCCTCATCTGCCCATTTTACACTGTTTTTGTCATTTTTTACTTGTATGAGTTATTCATGTATTTTGGATATTAACTCCTTATCAGACATAAAGTTTACAAGTATTTTTTCCGATTCTGTAGATTGCCTTACTGGTTTTCTTTTTGAATGTTTCTTTTGCTGTGTGAAAGATTTTATTTTGTTATAGTCCCTCTTGTTGATTTTTGCTCTTGTTGCTTGTGCTTTTGGTGTCACATCCAAAAAAATCATTGCCAAAACCACTGTCAAGGAGCTTTCCCCCATGCCCCATGTTTTCTTGTTGTTTTATGGTTTCATGTCTCACATTTCAGTCCTTAATCCACTTTTCAGTTAATATTTGTGAGTAGTGTAAGATAGGGGTCAAATTTTATACTTTTACATTTGGATATCAAGTTTCCCAGCACTATTTATTGAAGAGACTATCCTTTCCCCATTGGTTATTCTGTTTTAAAAATTTTAAATCCAGTATGGTTGATGTACAGTGTTATATTAGTTTCAGGTATACAATATAGGTATTTCACAATTCTACACATTACTTTGTGCTCATTATGGTAAGCATACCCTCAATCCCCTTCACCTATTTCACCCATCCCCAACCTCCCCTCCGGTAACCATCAGTTTGTTCTCTATAGGTAAGAGTCTTTTTAGTTTGTTTGTCTTTTTCCCCCTTTGTTCATTTGTTTTTTTTTTTAATTCCAATATGAGTGAAATCACATGGTATTTGTCTTTCTCTGCCTGACGTATATCATTTAGCATTATACTGTCTAGATTCATCCATGTTGTTGCTAATGACAAGATTTCATTCTTTTTATGGCTTAGTAATATTCCATTGTATGTATATACCACATTTTCTTTATCCATTTATTTATCAGTGAACATTTGGTATGCTTCTATAATTTGGCTATTGTAATAATGTTGCTATAAACATAGG